TTATTGAAACAGCTTTTCAAAGCCTCGTGGATACACACCACCCCTTGCTGTGCTCTTCTTATTGCCCTGGTGTCTGGCTGCTCAAAAATGGCTGCTATGCAATCTGTCTCAACTGCCTACCCCTGCCGAAAATTTTCACCCTTCCCCCGCCCCCCCCAGATATTATGGGAGCACACAGCAGGCAGCTATAATCATGGGGATGTTCTCTTCAATAAGGTCCAACCTTGTTAATAAACTTCTCCAGTGCCCTTTCAAATGACCAAAGGCACATTCAACCACCATTCTGCACTTGCTGAGCCTACAGTTGAACCTGGAAGCAAGGGATAGGCTGGGTTCCCCAGGATAAGTATAGGCATATCAGTGTTCATTTTGTGGTCTGGAAAGAAAGTCCCAGGTTGCAGCTTTTTGAACGGACCCGAGTTCCTAAACATGCGCGCGTCATGCACCTTTCCCACCGATCCGATGTTGATGTCACTGAAACATCTCCTGTGATCCAACAGCGCTTGTAACACCATTGAAAAGTATCCCTTTTGGTTTATGTACTCTTTAGCAAGGTGGTTTGGTGCCAAGATGTGGATATGAGTGTCATCTATCGCTCCATGGCAATTAGGGAACCCTATTGTGGCATAACCATCCACTATGTCCTCCACATTTCCCAGACTCATCACCCTTCATAGCAGAAGTCGATAAATGGAGCTACACACTTGGAGCACAGAAGCTCCCACGGTTGATTTACCTACTCCAAATTGATTCCCCACTGACCGGTAACTGTCTGCCATTGCAAACTTCCAAATAGCAATCGCCACTCACTTCTCCACTGTCAGAGCAGCTCTCATTTTTGTGTTGCTGAACTGCAGGGCAAGGGAAAACTCTGCACAAAGTTCCTGGAAGGTGACCTTCCGCATTCAAAAGTTCTGCGGCCACTGCTCGTCATCCCGTACCTGCAAAACGATGCGGTCCCACCAGTCAGTGCTTGCTTCACGGGACCAGAAATGGCGCTCAGCAGAGTGCAACTACTCTGTGAATTGTTTTTTTCAATGGCTTGCAGCAGGGCTGCTTGCAGGACATTGCTACGTTCCACGCGGCAGACCCTACTTTGGCTCTGGAAATACTATAGGCGAAGGCGCGAGGTGTTTGAGATGCTCACAGCAAGGGTGTACAATTGAGCAGGCTCCATGCTTCTGGGGTTATGGCATATGCATGGCAATTTTAAGGCCTGAAAACCACTTGGTTGTTTGCCACTGATATGAGGGAGGGAGCACAGTGCATCGGGGGTGCCAACGCAATGTTCCCATTCTCTCCCGTGACAATGTTTTGGTCCCATAATGCATTGCACAAGCTTCCCAAAACACACTGCGGCAAGTTGCACTTTGGGATAGCAACCCACGATGCACTGCTTTGTGCATCAATGCAGGCACTGCTAGGGAGGACGCACTCCATCGAGACAATGAGCATGGCATGGCCACGCACAATCGACTTAATTAATTCGGAGGCTCGAGGTCAAATTAGATAAAGTCGACTTAATTTTGTAGTGTAGACAAGCCCTTACTCAGACCAAGTAGTACCTTAATCCACAAGTACTTCCAGGGAATTTTATGAAATTATTTGTGGTGCGAAGTGGATCTGGCCATCACTGACTAACTATTTAACTAGCTTTTTGGGGGGTTAATAATTAAAATAATAATGAAAGCCACTTACAAATAATAAACTAAAAAATCTGATACAAGAAGGAAGGAAAAAAACTATTTTACCATTACCCTTCTGTTCCAATTAGTTAAAAGAAACTACGAGGGCAACATATAAAACAATAAAATTATAGGCTTTAAATATTACAAAAGGTAAGCTTAACATAATAGGCTCTCAATAATTGTTTACTGGGAATATCTGGGTTTTATTCTTTAAACCACAGAGCGAGCCTTCTTATAAATCCAGAAGTGGGGGGAGAGAAAAAAAATCCCACTACACTGTGAAGCCTAAACAAAAATGGTGCCAGTGCCCCCACATTGCCCCAACAATATTCTTCAGCTACAATGGGAGGACCCAACTCCAGGAGTTAAGTAGGTATTTTAGTTTCCCAAGGCTCGGGTGACCACATTTCCTAAAGGGAAAGTGGGACACCGGCTTGCGCTAGCCCGAGCCCCCCAGCCTGGGGCTGGCTGCAGCAACTTGCCCCCCCCCACCACCACCAACGGAGAGCTGGACCAAGCTGCTTCCCCGAGCCCCTTTCCCCCTCATGCTGGGCTGGCCTGAGCCCCTCCCTCTCCCTCGCAGGGCTGACCCAAGCCACTTGTCCAAGTCCCCCTCCCTGCTCAAGGCTGGGGCTGGCATTGCTGCTCACTTGAGCCCTGCCTGCCTGCTCCCCTGCCTGAGCCCTGCCTCCCTGCCCTGCCCCCCCCCGGGCAAGGCTGACATCGCCACTTGCTTCCCTGCATGTTCTTCCACACCCTATTTTTTTTTGACAAAAGTGAGCATTGATCCTGCTTGCTCTTGCCAACTGATCAGGTTGGCAAAAGCAAACAGGACAAATGCCCACTTTTGCCAAAAAGTTGGGACAGCCAGGACAGGACTTTAAAAAAGGGACTGTTCTGGCCAAAATGGGATGTATAGTCTCCCTACCCAAGGCCCATTCAGTTTGTGGTTTAGCTTTCAACACGGCCAGCAAAGTGTTGGTGGTGGGTGGTACAGCATGGTTTCCTGCCCACTATGAATAGGGGGAAAAAATCATCAACAGGTTTCACAGAGGACACCAACCATATAGGGAAATTGATCCAGCATGACATCTACAAGCCACAGGGATCCAAAAAACCTGCTTTAACAAAAAACTGATTTAAAAAAAAATAGTTAAGTAAAAAAAAAAGAAAGAAAAAGTAAATAGCTATTTGCAGAGAAAAGTAAACTTTGCAATATTACATTCATCTGCTTTAAAGTAAAATCAACTAAGCAAATGTTAAAGTTTGGATATTAGCAACAGTGGGTAGGCAACTAGCATAGTCTCCATATGTATGCAATCCTTTGCTGTGACTGTCAACAAGGCGGCCAGTTATTGCCAAATGTGATAGCGTTTTGTGATTTGGGGGCTTGTCTATGGGGAACTGGGCTGAGACCACCACGCATTTCATGTAAGCCAATGAACAGTCATTTTTGGTTATTATTGCCTTAAAAACAAAAAGCTCCTTGGTCTACCACAAGCTACATACATCTGAATTTTCTAATGAAGTCGCATTCTATTGTTCTGACAATGGAACAATTAAGGATGTTATTAAAGTACTAATAAATATAAAAATTTTATGTGAAATGAATAAGGCTTTGGAAGCATCCAAGTGATTTTTTTAAAATCTAACAACAATTTTTTTATTTCACTAGCTAATAAAAATATTATTTTTAGATTATGTTTATCATCCATGTGGTTTTTTATATAAAACTTATGACAAGGCAAAGAAGGATGGATCCAAGGCAAACAAATTAACCTGGGAGTTTTCCGAATCTACAGTTCTGACAAAAGCTTGAATTTCAATTGACTTGTAACTCACTTTTCAGTAATAAAATATTTTAAATTTTCATATGAAAAATATTTTTTTTTTAGTTCATAGTGGAACTCTTAAAATAGAGAATTTAAGTGTGAATTTGGAGTCTGTGAAAGATGCTGAATGTATAGCTCTGGGCAACTGAAATCCTTTATTTAACCCCAGAAGAGGTACAACACAGACCTCAACAGTGTAAGCTTCCCCATCTCTGCCCCAATCTATTTGCCTCATTTCTGACCTGGAAGGAAGATTTTAATTTGTGTAGACAATTCAAAACTATGGCTTATTAAAGACCGTTAATAAGGTAGCCAATTATGCTGGGTTTTGTGAAGTGGACTGCTGTCTTGTAGAAACTGAACAGAGATCACCAATTCTTTTCACACTGGAGCCACCCATGTTAAGAACTTTCACTCACTAATTATCTGGGCTTGATTTCAACAGAATAAGAAATGGAAGGCTTTGTAATCCATTACCAACCACAGGAACCATCTACTGGCTTAACACAGGCATTCAAATATCGCATCCAGAAAGCTAACTACAATTGGAGATAAACAAAAAGCAAAATTAGTCTCTGAAGTTCTACTGGTATAATCTGAATACATATACTCAGTATATGTTAAGAGCTTTTCAGATTACAGCAGAGGACCTTAATACTGCATCAATGTCTTACTCTCCCATACCTTGTTTCTGTTATGGGAGATCTAAGACATGCAGGCAGAGGATGTGAGACACAGTAGATCTCCGTGGCAAATATTAATATGACTCACAGATTAGCTAGTGGGGTGCTGAGGTAATGTTCCCAATATTTTTATCCTCGAGACAACGACCAGGATCTCTGTATCAGGTCTTATTTCCTTTTATCCAATGAAGCAGGATTTTTAAGCAGTTTTTAGTTAATATCTACTACTGCCGTTATCCTTAACTGGTTTATTTTGTAATAGGAAAAAAATTATCTTATGTAATTTTTAATTGCTTTGATGACACTCAAGAGAGAAGGTAAGCATTGAACTGACATGGGAACATTTCACTTGTACAAATGGTGCTCAGAACTAGGCTGAGGCAAATTGTCAGAACCATGTGGGGAAAATGCAGTCTGTGTTGTAACCATTTGGTGGCTAATGACAGTAACTCATTCTTCAGTGGTGACAACTTGCGTATTTCAGAGGCAATGTATTTAATTTGTATAATAATGTATTTAATTTATATAATAAAAAAAGAATTAGGTCTGGTGCTGCTGTAAAGGATATTAAATTGAGAAGACAAGGTGATTTTTTTTCAGAGAAGAAACATGTAGAGTTTTTTCCATTTACCAACGAATTTTTAAAGTTTTTTTTAAATTCAAATGTTAATACGTTTGTTAATAAGTTTATTCTACTATGTAGTTATAAGCATCCTTTCTGCTTTCACGGAAGATTTAAAAACAATAAATAAAACTATAGTAGTGATCAAAAAATGATCATTTTCAACTGACTGTACCTGTCTGTAGTACTGTCTCTGGATCAACAGACGGAAGAAAGTTTAAATCCATAGACCTTGTAATAAAAAAAGTAAACATATTATTAAGTAGTTGTATTACAATAGCACCAAGAAGCCTCAGCTGAGATTGTGGCTACCTTTTATCAACACAAAGTCAGAGACAGTCCCTGCCTCAAAAAGCTAGCCATCTATAGAAGACAAGACAGACAAAGGGTGGGAGAAAAAGTGTAATTATCCCTATTTACAGGTGGGGAATGGGGAGACAGAAGCCTTGCTCCTGCACTGTGACCTGCCAGCATCAATGACAATGCAGGATCAGGACCTCAGCAACTTGCCCAGAGTCATATGAGGAGTTTCTGGCAGAGCCTAGACCTGAGCTCAGACTTGCTGAGTTCTAGCCCACTATCTTATCCATCCTTGGTCTCTGTGGCTCTTTGTAAACATATACATAGTAATTTTTTATAGCAAAGTAATAATAGAAAAGATAAAAATGAAAGAAAACACTTTTGGTACATTAATATGGCAACACATGTAACTTAAAACAAAATTAAACCTGGCAAGCAATTGCAAGCAATATTAAACCTGGCAAGCAATATTAACATGGTCTAGTTTGGTATTTAAAGACAAGAAAGAGAGATATATTAATAATGTGGATATTTATAAATCAATTAACATTGTATAATAATTTTCAAAGTAGTTTTATTGCACTAGGAAACATCCTGCATTTCTATTTACACAAACAGATTTCACTACCCCACATAAATACCAAAAATTCAAATACCTGTGCCCTTTAGAACTTTTATACACAACTTCTCAATTCTCTCTCTTCTCCCTATTTCCAAACATCTGACTAAATACATACAGTTGCAGTGACCTCCTCTTTGGAGCCCTTTCTCTCTGGCAGTTTGTGACTGTCACTAGCGGTTTTTAAACCTTAGCAGGTATACTGTGCTTAAAATAACGGGAAGAATCCAACTACAAACAACTAGAGTCAGTAAACTGAAACTTGAGGCTTATGCTTCAGTGCTGACTCATCCCATTTTGTCTCCTTTCACTTAAAACTCAGAAACACACAAGCTAGGGATGGAAGGGTCAGTGAAAAACTTGTTAATCAAAGCTCCTTGTGGCATCAATCATATAACAGACTATCACATTAACAGTTTGGGCTTCACTTCATTGGTCATTCCCAAATTGAGAATGCGAAGGGACATCACCGGGATCAAGTACATCTTGCTTACTTAGTTGCTAAGGCCTGAACCTGCAATTGACTGTGCACAGGAACAGGAGTGTGACCACATACAGTCAGTTGCAGGATCTGGACCTTAATGCCTGCCAGAAAACGAATTACTGAAAAATACTTGTGTTGTCCACCAGTCCCTTCACATTACACTTTCATATTGCAGCTGAACTGGTAGTTAAGACTTATGCTGAAACATGTCTATTTTAAAAAGCAGTACACATACCTCTCTTTCTCCTGTTGGTTTCCTTTATCACTTCCATTGTTAATTAAAGCAAGCTCATCTAGTAATGATGTAGACTCTTTTGTAAACTTTTCAAATACCTAAATAAAAATACTTTTAATTAAAAGAGCATTTACTTTTTTTTTTTAAAGAGTGAAAAGAAATTCATTTTGTGCTTGTGAAAGACGCAGTTTGACACTACCAGTCCAAATGTATCTATATTGCTCTGTTAATATGCTTCACACTTGTCAAAGTAATTACCTCCTAGACTCAGATGGTATAGGAAAAAGGTTAGAAAATATAATTTCCCTTCAATGACAGAGGCCTGCAGTGTCAGATACTCCAGGGAATTAAGCAACTCTATATTAGAATACATTCGAGTTAGGACTGAATTTCAAAATGCTTACAAGACCCTGAAGAATCTTTCAAAACTTAAGTCTTCATTGCCTTAGTTACTCATCCAGTCCATTTAATTCTTTGCTTTTTTACGACTACCTCTTAAAGACTGTGGTGGGGATTTTTGTTATCTGTCCACTAAAAAATGGATTAAGTACATCAACTGTTATCTGAATTTCCAGCTTTGGTCTGTACTGTAACCAATAACTTTTAAAAACAAAGGAGCGCATGGCTATAAGTAAAAAATACTTTGGTCAAGGTTCCTTGAAATTTATTGGTTTCTGATCTCAGAGAGCAAAACCTATAAAATCAATGACTGCATGTACTTGTTCAGTTTCTTTGTGTTTTGAGTTCTTTATGAAAACTGAGCATCAATTCGTTCTAGTAGTGATAATGTTGTGCAGTCTGCATTCTTGTGCACTAGGAACTGGATTGAAACCAGTCACTCATTTCACTAGAGATGGATATCAACTTTCACCTGCTACTCATCGCATCAACTCCTAATCTTTGGCCTGGAGGTGAAGTTTCTGTACCCCATCCAGTCCATTCAGGCATCAATAAAGAGCCCTCTCGACATGAAATTGGACAGCCCTCTCAATACAATATAACTTTACAGCATGTTTCATACACTGTAGTATAAAACACTTTACAGTGCTAAATACAGTAATGAAACAGAAATTAGGCAATGAAAACATTTTTCAGCGGAGATCTGAAACTACACAGAATCAGAAAGGCTGTTCCAGATGGCAGAAGCAGCAAAGGAGACAGCCTTGGCACCAACATTATGGAGGGTATATGAAGGAAGAGAAAGGAGTCTACTGCTAGGTAACAAGAAGAGACAGACACATCTGTAAGACAGCATCAGTAGAAAGAATGAGGAGTACTTGTGGCACCTTAGACACTAACAAATTTATTTGGGCATAAGCTTTCGTGGGCTAAAACCCCACTTCATCGGATGCATGCAGTGGAAAACACAGTAGGAAGATATATATATACACACACATACTCACACACACACACACACACACACACACACACACACACTGTGACAGGGTCGGGCCAGATGGCTACAGGAGAGTGATAGAAGGCAGATTATATTAGCCCCAGGTTAAGTAGGTCCCTTTACCCTGGGTAATGTAACAAGGAAGGTTCCAGAACAATCAGGAACCTTCTGAAGACAATTAAGACAGACAGGCTGATTAGAACTCCTGCAGCCAATCAAGAAGCTGCTAGAATCAATTAAGGCAGGCTAATCAGGGCACCTGGGTTTAAAAAGGAGCTCACTTGAGTTTGTGGCGCACGTGTGAGGTGCTGGGAGCAAGAGGCGCTAGGAGTTGAGAGTGAGAACGCGGACTGCTAGAGGACTGAGGAGTACAAGCGTTATCAGACACCAGGGGGAAGGTCCTATGGTGAGGATAAAGAAGGTGTTGAGAGGAGGCCATGGGGAAGTAGCCCAGGGAGTTGTAGCTGTCGCACAGCTGTTCCAGGAGGCACTCTAGACAGCTGCATTCCACAGGGCCCTGGGCTGGAACCCGGAGTAGAGAGTGGGCCCGGGTTCCCCCCAAACCTCCCAACTCCTGATCAGACACAGGAGAAGTTCACAAAAATGGCCAAACTGAGGGCTGCCATGAATCTCCAAGACGAGCAAATCCGCCAATAAGCGCAAGACCCACCAAGGTAGAGGAGGAACTTTGTTACAACACACAGAGAACGTGAAAAAATGGGTGTTGCCATACCAACTATAACGAGACTAATTAATTAAGGTGGAGTATTATCAGCAGAAGAAAAAAAACTTTTGTAGTGATAATCAGGATGGCCCATTTCCAACAGTTGACAAGAGGGTGTGAGTTAAATAGGAAGACGGAGGCCAGTCAGTGAGAATGGGGGTGACATGTTTGTAAGCTTATTGCAAATGTGTAGAAGAAGTCTGCAGCAAGATTTCACACTAATATGTGCTGGACTTGGGGAGATATCAGAGAAAGGAGTGGCAATTTTCAAGGTAAAAGAAGGTGAAGCCATGGATGGGGATTTCAACAGAAGCAGAATTAAGGTAGTGACACAAAACAGGTGGCATTTCAGAGGTAAAAAGACTTTTACAGATGTGTGAGAAGGTAAGTTCAGGGTCCAGGATCATACAGACAGTGGAAGCAAATTGGAAGTCTGAGTCAAGGATGGAAATAGAGAGCATAAAGCTGTGTTTAAGGATGCTCCTCTTGTCTAAGAAAAGCACTTTGAGACATTTAGCTGAAGAAAACAGAAAATGATAGGTTTCTCTCACCTCTTAGAGATCATCCATTTACCACAGAGCAGTGGTTTTCAACCTTTTTTCATTTGCGGTCCCATAAAAAATTTTAAATGGAGGTGCAGACCCCCTTGGAAATCTTAGACATAGTCTGCAAACCCCCGGGGCCCACAGACCACAAGTTGAAAACCACTGTTTTATGATAAACTTTCGCAGTCCTCGTAGTCAAGTTCTGGGGCAACATGTCATTACCACAGTCAACCATTCTGTGTCCACCACAACTAGCTATAATCTTAGGGCTCGAAAGGCAAGGCCAAACAGCAGCATGATGGCAGTTTTGCTAATCAGAATGGGAGGACAGAACAGAGAGTTAGTGTACCATGAAAATGGAAGGAATGTTTGGACAGCCGACCTTGGTTTTAAGTGCCCCCGACATATAAGTTTTATTGTTGTTATAATTAAAAATACTAGGAAAGCTTTAAGAAGAAGAAATAGTAAGTAGTTTGCTAAAATTTAAAGAATTGGTGACGTAGGGGTTACTATGGTGACCCACTATGAGTTATGTGCTTTGTTATTAAAAAACTATTAAAAAACTAAGCAAAAAAATACACTTGGGAGCAGTCTGAAGAAGCTTTTCTTCAGGCAAGGAGCTGACACCTTCAGTCCCTCGGAGCTGCTGGGTGAAAGAAGGGCCCCCAGAAACCTGGCTGTTAATTACTCGAATGCATCTCAGACTTTGGGTAACTATAAATGCTTGAGGTGCTCTGAGACTACTGCTATAGCATATGTGTATGTGTGTGTGTGAGCGCACGCTTCAGACCTAATAAAAGGAGTAATTTTAGGTAAAAGCACTCTTGTTTGTACCAATCGTTTATCAGATGGAGGAGCTGAGTCCCCATTGATTTATTCCTGACACTGCCTGAAGAGAAACAGTTAAGTTACCACTGCTTTGGGTTCTGAAAACCCTGGGTAACAGACACAGTCTGATGACCCCCAGAGGTCCGCGGACAACAGGTTGAAAACCACTGCCACTGAGTAAAGACATACTAATGTGCTACTATAATAAGGAAAGTTGCAAAACTGCTGTTTATGTTATACCAGTTTTGCAGCTAGCTGGAAAGACTTCGATTTCCAGGATTGAAAACATATTCAGACCAAAGCAGTCGGTCTGCTTTTAAAATTATATTATACAAAAAAAAAAAAGAGGGAAGAAATTATTCCACTTTCAAGATTAGGTATTGTTTTAAAAATGCATTTTTAAAGTAAATTCTGATCTTCAAACCAATTTCAATTAATAACAGAATTAAAATATACTGAAATGTGTATATACCAAATGACCCCCTAAATAATTTGAATCTATTAACAATTTAGGGGCAGATCTACCCCTAGGTATAAATTGCACGCCTGCATCTACCCGGGCAACTGCACTGCAGGGGGATTCACCATGATGGAGGACAGCTTTTAACTCTGGTTATGGCTCCATAGGAGCCCTATCTTAAAAGACTGTCTAGGAAACATGAAGAAACAGCATTTTTTGCTTGGCCTGGGCCTTCCCTCTCTATGGCCAAACCCAGCTGACTCCAGGCCCCCCCAGCATTCCTTGCTCCTGTACCCCGCACTCCTGGGGGATTTTTCAACACTGAGAATATGCAGCAGAATCTAAAGAGTAAATCTGCTCCTTAAACAACATAATTACATCTGCTTTGCCCCCTCTAGAATAAATTCAATTTCTACTAGAATAAGAAGACTCTTTAAATATATAAAGTGCATTTTTCTCATTCTACTACATTATAATGTATTCTAAACATTGAGGTAGCAACCAAAATGTGGTAAGAGACACACACACACACACAGAAATACAGTCCATGCCCCACAGACCTTAAAGTTTGAAAGAAAAAAAACAAACAAAAACCAACCAGCCTCTTATTCAACCAGTCCATGTGATCATAGGAAAGGCTCCCTCCAAAATCTTCTGTCAGTTGGCATGGTTCTATGTATCGAGTCAACTTGTTGGCAGATACTAAAATAACCTGTAACAAATTAAGAAAGAAAGTTTTGGTAACATGGTTTTGTGAAACCTATGCTACAAAATTTAATATATTTTATTAAGCTTGTTACTTTGAACAACAGGAGGACAGACGGAATAAACAGAATATATTTTTCAAGTACTTTACAAAAAAAGTGACAAGTCTTTCCATAAGTAGCTGTAAGACTTGGTTTGAACTGGTGCACAGCAGTTTACTCAATATGTTTTTGAAACAAACAAACAACTATATTTTCCAGCCTTGAAGCCTGTAATCCATTCCTTTATTCCACACTTTGGACACCAACCTCCTCTCAAACTACTGTCTTACCCAAGAATTCCCTGAATCTAGGTTAGGGGGTTCTCAAACAGGGGGCCACAAGGTTATTACATGGGGGGGTTGCGAGCTGCCAGCCTCCACCCCAAGCCCTACTTTGCTTCCAGAATTTATAATGGGGTTAAATATATAAAAAAAGGATTTTTAATTTATGGGGGGGGTTGCACTCAGAGGCTTGCTATGTGAAAGGGGTCACCAGTACAAAAGTTTGCCTAGATCTGTGGTTCTCAAACTGCCTCTACCCAAGACAAATTCCAGTCGCACAATGGCCTTACTAGTCCAGGATCCAAAATAAAAGATGTGTTTTGTCATGCTGTTATTACTTGTTACTAGTTGCAATTTGCCAGTTCTCTTCCATTCGTCATTAAACCTTAGGATACCACTTTAATAATAGGTTTCAGAGTAACAGCCGTATTAGTCTGTATTCGCAAAAAGAAAAGGAGTACTTGTGGCACCTTAGAGACTAACCAATTTATCTGAGCATAAGCTTTCGTGAGCTACAGCTCACTTCATCACATGTAGCTGCAGCTCACGAAAGCTTATGCTCAAATAAACTGGTTAGTCTCTAAGGTGCCACAAGTACTCCTTTTCTTTTTACTTTAATAATATAATCTTAATTTTTGGAAACCACTTTCCTGCCTATATTTGTATGTGAAGGAACAGAAATGCTGAGGAACTGTCTCAAAAATACGGACAAGGAGTTCATCTAAGCTGAAAAGTTTTGCATAATTTGGTATGTTAGTTAAAAAACACCATACTCACTGAGACAATTTGCCCGTAATAATGCATGATTATGTGTTGACCAGGTTATTGTGATATTTACTGTATGCACATACTGAGGTAATACAATAGCTGGACTGTCAGGAAATGCACTCAGGAAGAGGGACGTGGATCCTGATTAACACTTCTCAGCAAACATTTAAGAGACAGTGTAAGAGCCTTTCACTTTGAAGGCCTGGTCTGGCAGAATTGTTTGGGAGGAAGAGATCAAGGGCCAGACTCCCAGAGGTAAGGCATCTGGGGCAAGAGAGGTCCGCCGAGGACTCTAGGTAAGATACACGCGTGTATAGACTTTCTGTTTTAAAATCCTTTTACTCTTATGTTATGCTTTGTTCTGGCAGTTAAGATATTTGGTTTTAAGAAGGCTCTCTGGTCATTATACATCACTGATCACAGACTTCCCCCACAGGAAGACTCGCAGGTGCCAAACTCTGTTATACCTGTTGGGTAGGCATGGTTGACGCACAGGATACTGTGGCCCAAGACCCATTCTAAGAGTGGGAGAACTGCAGGATTCCACCCCAGGAAAGGTAAAGGCATGAGAGCGGGTGGGTGAACTCCCAAAGAATCAGAGGTGCAGTTAGCTCAGCAACTGCGACACTCATACTAAATCTCTATGTATTATTTTTAAAGATAATTTATCTGAAAGAGAGAGAGAGAGAGAGATGATGATGGATTGGCATTCTCTCAGTTTTCATCAGCAGAGAATCTTATTTGATAAACAAATTCATGGTGTGTGACACCTTCCGAAATTTGATATATCTAAGAATTTTCTCTAGCACCAGCCAACATAATACAGAAGCATTTCTATGAGTTACATTTCTATATAACTTGTACTGGAAGCAGAGGTGGCATACAATCTACTCAATAAAGATGCCATTAGCATTGTGTACTGCTATAATCAGAGTGAATCAGAAGACAGCATAATGGGGCTGCTTCCAGGCCATCATGATACTGTCGTAAGATGACAACTTCAAGAAAGTGTATATCACAAGGACCCCACCCACAATTCAAATATTTTGTGGGGGTTCAGGATTAAAATATGATGAGTGAATTACTCACCAAGCATGCTATGGGGGGAGCGCAACCCTCCTGGAAGGTTAATTTATTAAAATTAGCCCCTTCTACCCAAATATTCTCACTGCTAATACTAGTTGAGCTCCAAGAGTAGTAGAAACAGTCAGAGTGCCACTGACAAAAAATATGGTTTACCATGATGTCATGCAGACCTGCTCTGACCAAGTTTATGCATCAAAACGGATAAAATGTTGGTGGCCAAACTGCCTAAACTAGTACTTTGCCTAGACCCTGCCTATCCTAATGGTCCCACTGCAGCTGTCCTGGTATTTGAGTAATGTAGACACAGCCTCTCTTGCGTACAAAGTGTACTGTGTGAATGACATATAAAACTTATTTCAGGAAGAGAACATGAGCTAGATAGGACAACTAAGGCAGAAAACAAAGCAAGGACAGGTCCGATCACAGAATATACAAATGTTTCACTCACACCTTCACTAGCAACATAAGAACAAAAACAAACTGCCACATTTCTGCCTGAACAGCAAGTTTTGATGTAATGTGAGCCTCAAATAGGAAGCTTCGAAAATTGCTTTATTTTCACTAATTCTCTATTTTCTCTGTTGAATAAACTGTTTTATTTGAATTACATTGGAGTTATCGACAGTTCTCTAGGATTACTGCTGTGAGTGTTCCTGAGGAAATATAAACAATTCTTTGAACTCTAAAGAGAAGCTGAATGTGTGTTGAAGGCACATGAACTGAGGCTAAGTGCACCTCAGGATCTTAATCAAAGACATAGACCGGTAATGCAGTACTCTAAAATGATGCTGATAATCTGGATGAAGTCATCCTTCAGCTTGGGAAAAGGCTAAGGATTATGGATCAGCATTGAAGGAGACATCCCCACCCCCACCAGCATGCCTCTCTTTAAAATAATGGCTCAGAATTTGACTCAATTTCTGTGGACAAATAGCTTAAGCAACTAATGGCCATGTGTGCAATACTGAACGAGTGGAGAGAGGAATTCTGCTTGAGATCACATTGTGTCCTGAAGTATGAGATGTAATTATTTTAAACTTGCATACCTACAAATGTTATTGCTGTCCAAGTTTCCTATAGCTTTTGAAAATCCAGTAATAGTAACTGTCTCACCTCCTGTGGCAGTGAACGTCATAGGCAGACTATATGTTCTATAAAAAAAAAAGGTGTTTTTTTTTTTGGTTTTTTTTTAAGAGAGTTCCTTTAAATTCCTATGTTTAAATTTCCTGACATTTATTCAAGTTAAATTTCATCTTCCATTATGCTGGTTGGCCCTTTTCATTGTCCTTCATGCTTCCCAAAGCATTTAAAGACATACACCTCTACCCCGATCTAACGCAATCCTTGGGAGCCAAAAAATCTTACTGTGTTATATGTGAAACTGCGTTTTATCGAACTTGCTATGGAGGGCCGGGTAGGGAAGGCTGTGCCTCCCCAAACAGCCTGGCCCCACCCCCATCTGACCCCTACCTACTTCCCACCCCCGGCTGACCCCTCAGAACCACCAACCCATCCAACCCCCCCTGCTCCCGTTCCCCTGACCGCCCCCCAAGACCCTCTGCCCCTTATCCAACCCCCTGGCCCCAGCCCGGCCCCCTTAACACGCCACTCAGAGTAGCATGTCGGAGCCAGACACACTGCCATCCTAGGCGCCGACTCCGTGGGTGCTCTGGGGCTGGAGCACCCATGGAGAAAAATTGGTGGGTGTGGAGCACCCACCAGCAGCTCCCCGCCCTGCCCCAGCTCACCTCCGCTCTGCCTCCTCCCCCAAGCATGCCGCCGCTCCCCTTCTCCCCCTCCCTCCCAGGCTTGCAGCGAATCATCTGTTTGGCGTAGCAAGCCTGGGAGGAAGGGGGAGAAGTGGAGCGGTGGTGCGCTGGGGCGGGGGGGGAAGAAGCGGAGTGGAGGTGAGCTGGAGCGGGGAGCTGTTCCTCTGCGCCCCCCGTTACTTGCTGCGGCCCTCCCTGGACCCCCCACACACACACCCCGCCCCAGCTCACCTCCACTCCGCCTCCTCCCCTGAGCATGCCGTCGCTCCACTTCCCCCCTCCCTCCCAGGCTTGCGCAAGCCTGGGAGGGAGGGAGGAGGGGAAATGCTTTACCGCGTTATATCCAAATTCATGTTTGTCAGGGTTCCCTCCCCACTCTGAACTCTAGGGTACAGATGTGGGGACCCACATGAAAGACCCCAAAGCTTATTTCTAACAGCTTAGGTTAAAAACTCCCCAAGGCACAAATTCTCCCTTGTACCTTGGATTAGGTAATGCTGCCACCACCAAGTGATTTAGACAAACTCAGGGAAAGGACCACTTGGAGTTCCTATTCCCTCCTAATATCCCCCCAAACCCTCGCACCTCCTTTCCTGGGGAGGCTTGAGAATAAACACGATGACCACAGACCAACCTTGGGTTTTTTTAGGACACACACAAAAAACCCCAATCGGATTCTAAAAGAAACAGAACTTTAGTAAAAAGAAAAATGGTAAAAGAAGCACCTCTGTAAAATTAGAAAGGAAGATAATCTTACAGGGCAATCAGATTCAAAAAGACAGAGGATTTCCCTCTGGGCCAAACTTCAAAGTTACAAAAAGAAAACCAGGAATGCACCTTCCTTTCAGCACAGAGAAAATCACAAGCCAAAACAAAAATAAGCTAACGCATTCCCTTGATAGTACTTACTGATTCTAATGGAGTTGGATCGCTTGCTTCCTTGATCTGTGTCTGGCAAGCACACAGAACAGACAGACCAAAACCTTCCCCGCCCCCCCAGATTTGAAAGTATCTTGTCCCCTTACTGGTCCTTTTGGTCAGGTGCCAGCCAGGTTACCTGAG